AGAGAGAGAGAGAGAGAGAGAGAGAGAGAGAGAGAGAGAGAGATTGGATGAGATATGCATTGCCGAACAGGTAAGTCTCCAACCCCTGGGCTGGCCTCACACTACTTGCATCGATAGATGAGAAAAATTGAATGAATCTTCCACTAGGACATGGATATATACCTACTACAAGTGTGCGTATGCGTGAGTGTGTGCGTGTTATATGTGCATTGCGTGGATTCTGCGACCGTGTCACAACATGTTGTGCGGAAGAGTGCGCTTATAAACAACACCGGGAAAGAGCTCGCAGCCAGGAATGCCCATAGAAAAAAATGCTTATAAAGCCCAACTTTCAATAGTCATGAAAAGAAAAACGAACCGACCAGCGGCAAGACAAGTACAACAAGACAAACAAAATGACGAGGCTGAGGTTAGAACACAACAAGGTACTTGGATGACACACCGCAACAGAGAACAAAGGGTGGAGGGCAAGGGGGAGGCGGGCGGGCAGACAAACAGCACTAGGCAGAAGAATGAGGCGGAGGCAACAAGGCAACAAGGCAGACAAAAGAGCAAACAGCACAAAAAAACACAGCGAAAAAAACAAAAGATGAAAGATTGTTTCGTCGGAGTTGCACCGACTCATCAGGAGGCTGAACCCTCGACAATCTGCGGAATCCCCGTATTTGATGGTTTGGGTCATGAACCCTTTGACCCTTGTTGAAGGCAGACTATCCCCAAGAGGAACATAGCAGCGGGCAGCAACCCTGTAAAGCACCAGGCAACACAGTAGAGGCAACACGGCTGCACAACGCCAAAAACGACTGCAAGGAACGAAGTGGCACGCAGCGCGGCAGCCGTGTAGTGAAGCATAAGGCAACACAAGCAAGGCAACAATACTGCAGGGCATGACAGAGTGAGTGAACCAGCAGATGGGCGACTGTGGAGCGGAGCACAAGACACCAGCAACAAGGCAACCAACCAACAATGCACACAAGCACAGAGGGCACGACCAACGGATGAGCAGCACGGCAGCGGAGCAGCGACGTGTGCGTATGTTTGTGTGTGTGTATGTGTTTGTGTGTGTGTATGTGTTTGTGTGTGTGTGTGTGTGTTTGTGTGTGTGTGTGTGCATTGTTGGTTGGTTGGGAGGAGGAACGGGGGGGAAAGCAAAAGAAGCAGCGGAAGGAGGACAGGCAGCAGGAGGAGCGGGAGGAGAAGCAAGAGAGGGAGTGGGAGAATGAGAGGGAGGCGGAGAGGGAGGAGGAGCGGCAGAAGGAGCGGGAGCGGGAGGAGGAGCGGGAGGAGGAGTCGGAGAAGGAGGGGGGGAAGGATGGGGAGGGGATACGGGATGGGGTTGCATCTCACAACCCCTTGCTCCATGCTCTCCTTCTCATTATACACATTCAAAGGCTGCTCAGTTCATGCACACACGAAACTGTTGAAGCGGCCCTGCCTGGGCGTGTGTGTGTGTGTGTGTG